GAGAACAAAACCACACACTCTTCAGACCAGTGGTGGGTTTCTCGCCCCGTTCCAACCGGTTCGGTTGGAATGGGGCCAGCAGCGTCCTCGTGCACGCGTGCAGTGCACGCATGTGTACTAGCGCCTGTGCGATGCTCCAGCTGCTCCTGGAGGATTGCGCAGGCGCTGTATGCGTTCTGCGCATGCGTGGAAGCGCAGAACTCGTCAAAACCGGGTAAGAAACGCGGGCGGGCGGGTGGATCCTTCCGGGTTCGCCGACCAACCGGTTCGCGGGGACCGCCGCGAACCACCTGAAACCCACCCCTGATTCCATTACATTTGCTTAGACTGTGATAAAATTGATCATAAAATTGGCTCTGATTATGCCATTACTCACTTAAGAACCACATTGCTTAGTGATGGAAATTGTGGACCCAATTGTAGTCATATGCCAAGGACTAAAAATTGCACCAGTGTATATTGGATATAAAATGTATTCTAGACTTCTTTTTCCCCATACAGTATATAGGCACACATAAGCTAATAATTATAAACTCAAAAATGCACACACACACCCAAAAAATTGGTTTTCCATGGAGAGTATGTTCAATATTTAAGAGTTAACTCTGTTGGCCAGATTAGATCCGAACCCAAGATCCATCACAGAACATTTGTTTTCAGAATGTCTATATACTAATTCACAAAAATACAGTGCGCACGATCCTCATTTCTATGTCTCTCAAGAACATCTGCCCCTTTCTGGCCCTGATTAAGAGCAAGAGTGGTCAGACTCAGTTTGTGGAAGGCAAGACTGTTAAATGAGTAAAGATACGTTACCAGTGTGGTGAAGATGAAATGGTAGTATTCTGTCATCATCCCCATCGCCATGGCCTGGGAAAATGCAGAGAGAAGGAGGTTAAAAGACTACTTGTGAAATTGGACCCAGAGGAAGAGGCACCCAAGGCCTGATCAGAAAGGACCCCTTTGCTGATGGACAAGCAGTTCCTGGAAGCTGAGACCATCCCCATTGCTAGGAGGACCAATGCTGGTCAAGAATCCCTGCTTGTTAGGCCTGAGGACCCTTCTTGCAATAGGAAACATCTGCCAGAGGTTTGATTGCACCGTGACAGCTGTCATCTTGAGAACTACAAAGGGATAAAGCCGAACTGGATCAGAAAGCCAAGCGTTATGAGAAGCACAATGACATAGGGTAGTTGGAGTACTGATTTGCCATGTACTATACAGCTATTTAAAAAATAATCCTGGGTCACTTCATCAATGTGAGGAAACTCTAGTTAGAAATGTCAATGAAGATTCTCAGTCTCAGAGTTGTCTGGAAGTTGCGTCATGGCAATTGGAATGTACCAACTCCTAAAACCCTTAAGACAGTGGTGAAATCTAATTTTTTGCCACCAGTTCTGTGGGCATGGCTTGGTGGGAGGGTCATGTGACTGGGTGGGCATGGTCAACTTTTTTCATTTTTTAAAACATTTTTTCTCTACTTATTCACCCGAACCGGCAGGAAAAAAAAGCTTTAAAAAGTGGTGGTGGGGGGAAGGTTCCAACAATTGTGCAGCTCACAGCTGATCCATGTGATTGCTGGAACCTTTTTTTCCCACTTTTTAGAGCATTTTTTTACTACCGGTTCTTGCGAATAGGTGATAAAATCCTTTAAAAAGTGGGGGAAAAGATTACGATGATCACACAGGCAGCTGAGCGTCATGGAACCTCCTCCCCCCCCCCTTTTTAAAGCTTTTTTTTTTTTTTTTTACTACCGCTTCAGGCGAAGCTTAACATTTTTTGCTACCAGTTGCAGTGAACCGGTCAGAACCAGTAGCATTTCACGCCTGCCTTAAGGGTCATTAAGTGGGGCTTCCCTGGTGAAGCTGTGAAGTGGTCTTACTCTTCCCGGGGATTGATGAGAGAGCAGCATAAAAAAAATGAGGGACAGGTGTATAAAGTTTCCACTATTGAGGGAAGAGTTTTCCAGTTTTAGGATTAGAATTTTTAGCATTAGAATTTTAGGAATTGCTACATTCCAACAACTCTCTGCCTACTCAGATTTCCCCTAACCAACTTGCTCAGACTGAAGAAGCTACTAGGACAAACGGTGAAACATTTCAAACCAACAAGAAAATAAGTCCAGTTGCCATGTACCAACTTCCAATCTTGTTAGAAATATTTCCTGGGTCAAAGAAATTGTGAAAGAAATCAATAAGCAACTGAGAATGGAATGCTGGGAATTTATCCTTATTTCTAGATTGAATTTCTCCTTGATCAGTTTCCATTCATTGTTCCTTATCAAGTCCTCAGGTGCTTTGGAAAATAGGTTGTTCCACCCCCCACCCCCCGTGGCAGCCCCTCAAGTATTAGAAGAGTGTTATCATGTCTCCCCTGGTCCTTCTCTTCACTAGACTAGCCATGCCCAATTCCTGCAATCGTTGTTCATATGTTTTAGCCTCCAGTCCCCTAATCAAGAGCTTGTGGTGGTGCAGTGGTTAGAATGCAGGCTATTTCTGCTGACTGCCAGCTACCTGCAATTTAGCAGTTTGAATCTCACCAGGTTCAAAGTTGATTCAGCCTTCCATCCTTCCAAGATGGGTAAAATGAGGACCCAGTTTGTTTGGGACAGTATTCTGACTCTATAAGCCGCTTAGAGAGGGCTGTAAAGCACTGTTGAGCAGTATATAAGTCTAAGTGCTTTTGCTATCCTCTTTGTTGCTCTTCTTTACTCTTTCTAGAGTCTCAAAATCTTTTTTGTAGTACGCAGACCAAAACTGGATGCAGTATTCTAGGTGTGATCTTACTAAGGCTTTATAGAATGGTATTAGTACCTCACATGATCTTGAGTGAATCCATTTGTTAACGCAATTTAGGGTTCCATTGACTTTTTTGGCTGCCGCTGCACACTGCATTCTTACATTTGGAGTCCACTAAGACTCCAAGATCCCTTGGAGTTACTGCTATTTCACCCAGTCTATATGCTTTAGAACAGAATAGAATAACAGAGTTGGAAGGGACCTTGGAGGTCGTCTAGTCCAACCCCCTGCTTAGGCAGGAAACCCT